TCCCTCAGTCTCCACCCGGTCCTCCATATCCTCCCGTCCTGCCACTGAGCCTCCGCAGCGGCCGTATTTAACAGTAACCCCGCGGGCTCTGCCTGGCAGCCCGACCCCCTCCGTGCCCCTAGCACTGCGGCATACTTCAGGTGAGGCTCTCCCTGGAGTCAGTTTCCCCAGGGAAATGGATGAACGCCTTGTGCCAAAGCGATGCGTGAAGTGGCATCTGGGCATTAGGACAATATCTACTAGCTCGGTCGGGCACCGAAAAGGGTTTCCGCTCTGGTTATGTGACGCTGTTTGCAGACGGGGGAGGTCAGCGTTCCTGGGGAAGGGTCTCACTGCAAGAGGCTGAATGGCACGACTGGTCACTGCTGGTGCTTCCAGCAGCCCAGCCTGCCCCCGCAAAGGCAGCTGGCCCGAGGTGGCTGCTTTGGAAAAACCACTGAGAGCCTCTCCTGCGTCCTCAGTGCTTTTAGCCGAGAGGGCAGTCACACCGTGGTGCCTCAGAACAACCGAAGCGGGGTTGAGGAGCGGGGGGACCTCATGATTTCCACATCAGAGTCCTGCGTTCGCTGCGGATCTCTGCAGGGCACTTCAGTTGGGATTTCACACTACAACGTGGCCGGTGAGAACACCAGCCTGAGGCGTGCCCACCTTCCCAGCAACTCGGGACGGTGCCAACATGCGTGTGCGTGGCACCATCCTCTGACCTGGATCAGGGGAAAACTTGGGGCATAGCCAGCTCTGTTCACCACTTCAAGGGAGACAGTGGGCAAACGTCCGCGGGCTTGGCCGCCCCACAGAGGGCACGGTGGCACAGGGGCAGGAGGGAGGTGCAGAAGTGATGGGGGTGACAGAAGTGCTTTTACCTGGTGTTGCTCCTGGACGTTGTACTGTGAAGCCACAGCCTTGACGTTTCAGCTCCTCAGCCCTTAGCCTGGTAAGTATTATTTTGTTAAACTGCTGGAGCTTCTGTTTGCTGAGGCCGGCCTGGGAAGCTGCGGTGTTCCTTCTGCTGCCTGCGAGCTTCTGACCCTTTCTGAGCAGAAACGGCTGTTGAAAAACAATCCCAGTTGAAAAATGCTTGGTAGCAGTCAGCAGCAGGAGACTCTCAGCATCCGAGTTGAGCTGCGTGGCAGCGCTCACGTGGACGGAGTCGTGTGGGTGAGGCCGAGATGGCCTGCAAAGCGGTGGCACAGGTGGACCTGCCGTTGTCGTGTCTTTTGGCCAGTTTACGGAGCTACTGTCTCCTTAGCAGGGAAGTCTGTGAGAACACACTGGTGGCACAAGAGAGAGATTAGTTTGTCTCCCGTGGCTTAACGCTGCAGGGTGGTGGACAAGGAGTGGCCACAGGATCCCAGTGTTTCCTCTCGCAAAGCCTAAGAACTTCTTAAACCCCTTCAGGGTCCACCACAGACACGCGTCCCTTTTTATTCCTTGTTCTGAAGCATCACTGATGTGTCTGAACATCTCACTTCTGCAGATCCTGCTCGTCTCGGATTATTTCTATGCCTTCCTCCGGCGGGAGTACTACCTCACTCACGGACTCCATTTGACGAGGCAAGACGGGACAGAGGCCATGCTTGTTTTGAAATAAGGATTGTGCCCACCATTCCCTGGGACATGGACCACTCTAAGGAACATGCAAAGCTTGGGGTACGTGGGGTGGGTGGGGAAGGTTCCCTGAATGAGGTCTGACTTTGGGAATGATACCAACTGAAGGAAAGGGCTGAGGTTCTTCTGGGAATACCCTCCTGAGCTGTGGGCTCAGCGCAGAGACTGTAAGAGCTACAAGTAGGAGCTGCAGGGCCTCCGTTGGAGCATCTCCCTTCTTCTCTGAGCTGTGCTTTTCACTGCGACCTCAGCCATCAACTCTGGACTGTCCAGCAGGAACTGGAGACAAGTGTCTGAGCTAAAACCAGGGCTCTCTGGCCGAGAAAGAGCTCAGACTATGAACTGTTTACTATCACTGCTTCTTGGAGATGTTTGCTTCTCCTGGAAATTTCCCTTTAACTGCTTTGACCAGTAACACTCCTGCTTGGCACAAGGCAATCTCTGGGTACCTGGTGCCTGAGCCCTGGGTGCAGATGCCATTTCTTGGTTCTCCTACTGTTGTGGAATCTGGAAAAAATCATGTGTGCTCAGGCACAGAGGGTGCTTGTGAATCAAACAGTGACCAAGGATGAATGACCTGTTGGAAGGAGAACACCTGAAGCTGCTGCCACAGGTAATGATCTTGGAGCTCAAAGTAAGAACTGGAATTGGGGTGAAAGCAGGAGCAGGGTAGGTATGAGCTGACTGCTGTATCCTCTTGAAGCACCACAGGCACTTCCATGTCAGGAGCTGCACAGAGGCATCACAGGGTCTAGGAGGAAGGAACCAGTACTGTGGAGATGCAGGTTCCCACTGCTCCTGGTTTCTGTAGGGTGGCAGAGCTTGGCAGGGCTCGCTGTGCTGTTGGGATCGCTTGGGGCAGCGGCGGGGCTGTGGACCGAGTGAGCTGCCTGCCTGGGCGAGGGACCAGGAGGGCTCAAAATCTCCCTTTTAGACCCCAGACCAAATCCAGGAGGAGCCTCAGCCGCTGCTGGTGTGGAGTCGTTGGGCTCCCAGTATTTCGCAGATGCTTAATGCTATGGGATATGCACTTCCCCGTGTTACCCCCTTGCCAGCACAGTGCCCGTGTGTCGTGGCTGCGTGCGGAAGCCCCGTTCGAGCTCTGCCCTGGGCCCCCCCGGCTCCCCCCTGGCTCTGCTCAGTCCTGCTCACGTCGGAGCTGCT